GACGTCAATGCCTCTAGCAACCTTCAACTGCACGACTCAGAAAATTATATCCACACTCTTCGATCTTTTGCAAAATCTACGGTCACACCGAGCTGCATCATGCTGTTTAACACCGCGTCACTCTATATCCGCTCATTCTCGGAAAGGGACGTTTTAGTCCACACTGTTTTGGCACAGACCGGCGTCTGCTGTCAATGTTCGGTTGTGCGACCGCCACTGAATTTGTAAGGTGGTCATCCACATCAACAACTTGATTTAACCTACCATATTATAAATCAGTGGAACGCTGCCGTGGTGAAACTTGTGTTTTTCTAATTATAATTCATGTGCTCACTGTGCGAGGTAAAATATCTGTGAGCACAAGATGAAGCCTTTGTTATAGTTCTGAAATTCAAAGCTCGCACTTTTATGTGACGATTACGCGAGCTCTTGACATCAGCGCGGGTTTACGCACTCCTAGTTTGAACCTATGGCTTTTTCGGAAGCCCATCTCTGTTCCACTTGCTGCATATTACACATGCTGCCTATCAGTCATACGTTTTCTCTGAGCATAGTACGCAACTTATGCCAGAATCGTGAGTTTCTAAGTCAACAATTTTGTTGTCTACGACGATTCCATTGTGCTGATCTATCGATGTCATTAAATCAGTGCGCTATCACTTAACTGCGAATGTAAACTTACATGAGTGAAAACAGCTATCAGCAACAGACAGCTGATTTTCTACTCATTCATCTATCAATATAAAATTGAGTATATTACAATATTATTGTTAAACTTCTGAATTTCAGAGGTTCCGTTCAATTTGATGATTTCATCACGATGGATGCTTCAAGCCAATAATAAGTCGCTGGACAGATATTTATCCAAGAGTTGCAATCTCTGCACTATACTACGACTTTAATTATTTGCAAAACATGCGGGATGCCTAGTGAATCAGTAGTTACTGGCGGTATAACGCTAGTGCCACGGTGGAGTGCGAATTCAAACACTGACAAGACTGACTTTATCAAACACCACCAGATAAGATACCACGGTGACATACCGCCGTTAAACAACTATGGCTATTGTTGTGCCATCGTCATCAAAGGCTAACAGAGTTTAAATAGTCGCGTAACCCCGACTTATGGTGTCTGATCTTCATAATCATGGCACAAAAGTTCAGTGAACCGGAGGCGGTCAGAAGAATGGTCGTGGAATGCGATTTTCAGATATTTTTTTCCGCGCACAAATAGAACAAAATTAGTTGTTTCAACAGTTCCTCATTCCCTTTCCGGTGACCAGTGAGAAACTTATGACAGCCGGAAAAGAAAGAAGATTTCAATGCAACAATGAGAGAGTTTCCGTGACAAACACAGAAAGAAACATAATATTCGATAAGTACCGTAATTACACTGATCATGTAATTGATGCGAGTTGATAAACCAGTCCGATGTCATAGTATAATTAGTCGAAATCCTACGTCAGACTATTTTGATCGTTGAATATGGGAAATAGCATCGCTAAATCGTGCTGAATGATGCTGCCTGTGTAAAAGCAAAGTAAAAACTGCACTCCTAAATTTGAAACATCGCTAAAGCCGGGATCGTTACAAACGAATTCGACTACGCTCACTTTCTGATGTCTGTCGAAATCCAGTAATCCTTTCAACGTTCGCCGATGCCGGTAACACAAATCAGTTGCAGTCGGGATCACAACAATCTTCTTGAGCCGGAACTGACCTCAGCTACCTAAAAACCGAAGTAAAAAATGGTGATTACTCCGATTTAAGATTCTGTTTAGAACTGCCGTCAATTCATGATCACAGTGTTAGAAAAGATCGTAAAGGGAACGAAGCAACGATTCGACTCCGTTTCTTTCCAGACATCTCATGCAGCTCCATCCCGAAGAGAACATTAAATTCATCATATTAAAGTGATACCGATTAGGACAGACTAATCGATCCTGTCCGATGGGGATACCTAAAGTTAATCGAAAGTCAGCGACTTACCTTTGGGTCATAGCCATGATTTTTAACCACAATCGATTAAAGATGCATGAAAAGGTCCATCTCCAGTACAGTCGTGCCGTTTCACAGAAATGCTGAACCGCGGGTGCAATAAGAGCTATTGCGAAATTCCCTGATATGAAACAGACTTGTGGGCAGGACGGCCCTCCTGAGTCACAGGCGACCGGAATGCGTCGGCCATCTTTCTGTGGTCTAAACGTTCACCTTCGTTCGATGGTCGAAGACCTCAAAGCTGTGCTCATGAAGGCCATCTATTTCTTGTATCGAATCCTGATGAAACCTCAATCGGAGCGAGTTCGCCGACTGTTTACGAAACGGGAACGAAGCAAGTACCAGATGCTACTGCGGCAAAGACGAAAGCAAAACCGACGATGCATGCGCAGTTTCATCGAGTTCACGGCGCTCTGCCAAAAAGCGAGCGCGGCTGTGGCGATCGGTAATGCGTTTTTAAAGAACTTCGACATAACCGCTGCCGTGGCAGCAATTCACGGACGGATTGCACCAGCCCCATGTTTTAGTTACGTTACGCTGCGTCATTCGTGAACGATTGTTCATCCGCATCACGACAGACCACCAGAGCGTCAGTGAGAGTTAAACGAAAACTATTCAACTTTACTACTTAGCAACTAATGCCTCCAGTATTACTGCTGTTGTTACTTGTTCACACGTCCGTACCTCATTTACTTGTACTCCAGTTAGGCGTCTTATTTCGCTATATACGACATGGTGAGAAATAATAACATAATAAAACCAGAAATACATCGAACGTCATCG